GGTGACTTGGTCTGAAAGACCCGATGCATCTTTCAGACCCTCCTCTGTGCCTCTGTTCTGTGTTGTTTGGGGCTTTTACCATGTGTCCCTCCGGGGTGTTCTGGATCCTCCATTTCCTCTGTCAGGGGCTCCGTCTTTTCCAGGGCCCTTTCCTCCCTGGTTGAACAACCTGCATCAACCAAAAGTCAGCGTTATTCCCCAGTAGGAGCTGAGAATCAGAAAAGACAGGAAAGGGGAGAAGCTGGGAGAACAAATGAGGTTCCTAAGATAACAGGAAAGCACAGTTCTCTCAGAAATCCATTTCAGTGTTCCAAAAAGCAGTCCCTACACCCCAGCCTCAGATGTGCTGCTGGCCTGTGAAGCACTGAGCCTGCTGGTCAGGCCTCCTGCCAGCTGGAGGCACAATCCTCCCCAAGTCCCACTGGACTGTGAAGACCTGGAATTTCTCCTCATGCTGTTGATATGCTGGGGGTGGGTGTGAGAGTGAGAAGTGGGTGGAGGGAAGGGTGGGAAAAGGAAATGGGAAAGATTCAGTGTGAAAAACAATGTATACAAGCTTTTTAAGTAAATCAGTATAAAATAAAAAATAATTTTTTTTTTAAAGTGAGGAGTTAAAAAAATAAAGAGAGAAATCTGGATTGGATTTTAATTGGTTTGCATCTTTAACACAGCATCAACACTTTTTATTCTTATCCAGAACTTTTCAGAGTCATGGTGAGCCTTTAGTAAAAGTGATATGAGTGATGGGTACCTAGTTTAAATTACAGCTTGAGAAATGGTTTACCTGGGAAATCCATCTACAGGGCAATTCAAAGATCTTTTAATTTTTTTTTTTTTTTTAACGCAAGAGTTGAGCCCGGTTTAGGTATCAGGAAAAAAAAAATCTGTTGCTATGGAACTGATCCTGAGCCATGGCAACTCCATGTGTGTCAGGGTAGAAATGGGCATAGAAATGAGCCTCCCCCAGGCTGAATTCCAAAGCTGGTTTTAGGAATCAGTTAACAAGGTCTTTCAGCTGAGGGGTTTCTGGGTTGGTCTCAGACCTCCAACAACGAACACGTTGTTAACAAACTGGTTAATAGGCTCAGCTGTTAACCAAAGAGCTGCAGATGTGAGTGCCCCAGAGGCATCTAGGGGAAAAGGCCTGGCAATCTCTTTCAAAAACCTCAGCTATTGAAAACTCTATAGAACATTATAGGGCTTAAAGAAGATGGCAAGACAAACTTCAGATTTGTAGAAAATGTCAAAAGCCATTTACCAAATAACACAGAATTACTGTATGACTCAGAAATCTCAATCCTAAGTATTACACTCACAAGAGAGTAGAAACACAAACAGAAATGTGGACAACAATGTTCACTGAAGCACATTACACTACAGTCAAAAGGTAGTTTTTACTACAGATACATTAAAAAAAAACACACACAACAAAAACCCCTTGGTATCAGCTGTCAGGAAATAAGGAGATGCATTGCATTGGGAAAATATGCACTTAGGGACCTCTCCAAATTATTGAGGAGTAATGATGTCGGTTTGAGGACTAAGGTGCATCTAATTCAGGCCATAGTCTTTCCAATTGCTTGCTCTGCATCTGAGAGCTGGACAATGAATAAGGATGACATATAAAGAATTGATGCCTTTGAGCTGTGGTGGTGGAGAAGAGCACTGAACCTCCCATGGATGGCCAAGAGAACGAACAGATATGTCTTGGAGAGGGTGCATCCGGAGTGCTCTTTGGAGGCAAGAATGATGAGGTTTCAACTCACATACTTTGGATATGTTGCTAGGAGGGGCTATTTCTTGGAGAGGGATATGATGCTGGGAAGGGTGGAGGGTTGGAAACGAGAGGAAGACCCTCAACCAGGTGAACTGACATAGCGACTATTGCAATGGGCTCTTGTGTGTCAGGAACTGTGAGGATGGCAGAGGATAGAACAGGGTTCAGATCTTTTGTTCATAGGGTCATTACGAGTCGCACTTGACTCAACAGCACTTAACAACAACACTGTCACTGAGTCAGAACTGAGCAGTGAGCTTTTAAGGCTGTAAGCAGCACAGGAAGAGATTGTCTTTCTCAGGTAAAGCTGCTAGTGGTATCAAACAACATATGTGTAGTCTCTGGGATAGCAATGCAAATATTTGCTGATGAGGCCACCAGACCTTTCTTCAATAGATGAATAGAAAAGTAAAATGGGCTTTGTCTATACATACAATGGAAAACTATACAGTTATAAAGAAAAATTAAGTTCTACAATATGGATGAACCTTGGAAACATGTTGAGCAAAATAAGTCAGAGACAAAAGAATAAATATGGTATCACTTGCATGAAAGAAACATATTCATAGAAACTAAAGATATCAATGACTCCAGAGGCCAAGAGAAAGGCAAGAGGGATCTTCTGTTTGGCACTGAGTTTATGTTGGTTGTGGTTGTAGATGAGGAGGGGATAACGGTGGCACAACATGAAAACAAAATCACGATCACTGAGCTGTAAACATGAAAGTTGTTGGGGTGGTAGATGTTTTCATGTGTGTATTTTTTTCCATAATAAAAAAAGGTTACACTGCCCAGTTCTTCTTTGACATACATAGGTCAAAAACTCAAGGGACAACTGGTTTGGTTAAGGTTCCAACCCAAATCCAAACTCGATGCCACTGACTCAAGAGAGACCTTGTAGCATAGGACAGAGCTGTCGCATAGGATTTGTAATGCTGAAACATTTACAGAAGCAGAGGGTCACTCCTTTCTTCTGAACCTGGTAGCTGATGGGTTCAAACAACCAACATTCAGTTAGCATCCAGTTGTGTAACCAGCTTGCTCCTGGTTGAGGGATGGGCCTGGACAAATTGCAAAGTGCAAACACATATGCACACAGAGGTGCAACGTATAAAGTTGGCCTTTGGGTTAAAAGGACATCAGCATTAGGACGTCCTGGAAGGGGAAGCAAAGTTGCAGAGTAAGAGCCAAAGAGGAGAGCAAGGGCGGGAGGACACTGCTGCTGCCGGGTGTCTGAAGTGACTGGGCCGCATGTGAACGGGGTGAGGGTTTTGGTGGCTTTGTTTGTTCGTAATGCAGTAGCCAACCAGGGTCTCTCTCTGCCCACTCCTCCCTGGAGCTTTGGAATATATGCTATGGAGCAGCAAGCAAGGCGGCCTGGCAGTCAGGGATGGCTCCACAGCCGGTTCTCCTATTTCACAAAGATTTTAAAACCTACTGTCCACATTTCTTTGATCACTTTAATAGAGAACACACTATACTAACATTTAATAAAATGACAGGACAAATATCTTTCTAAGCAGTTAAGTCACTGGAATGAGTCCCTTGCCCGGTATTCTGGGTCCCAGTTCTAGATTGTACCCAAGTCTCCTGGGACATCTCCAGTCTCCTGTTTCTTCAGTTGTGAAAGGAGGGGGAGTCTCTACCCCAGCAGGGAGCAGAGAGACATAGTGCTTCCAGTTTTAGAATTTTAGGGACAGAGCTCTGTCTAGCCTTTGAAAAGTATTTTGGCTTTTGTTAACAAAAAATATATATGTGGTTCACCTTTGGAAAGAAGGTATTTGTTTTTAGGATTTTGTGGTTTTGATTTTTAGAGGTAAAATATCAGCTGGGGCTGTAGAGAAAGAAAATGGCATAGGTTCTAACATTTGCTGACATCAGAAACATTCCAGAAGTGCATGCCTGTGTTGAATATTCCCATCTGTGTTGAGATTATAACTTTATAATAGTGGAAATTGAAAAGTATATAGGCAGAGAAGGCAGACAGACCAACATAATGGAAAAATACTGAGTTGTCCAGATTCTAGTTGTTTGAACCACAGAAAGAAAAAAAAAAAGAAGAAAAACAAAAGTGCCCTTTACATGCCCTGATCTAATCCCCTAGACAAAACAAACATCTATGATGGTATTTAAAGAAGGACAAATCTTGGCCCAGGCCCAGTAATACAGAGTAAAGAACAGGCAAGTAAGGGAAAAAACCCAGACACGAATGTTCTTGGCTTCCAGAACCTGCCTGCTCTGGAGAAGTCCCCAAATTCTCTGAAATTTCTCTGCATTCTCACCATAGTTCTGACAAAAACAGGTCTGTGTTTTCCCCTTCTAGGATTCTCCTCAGGCCTCTGACTTGGTCACAAGGAAATGTTCACTGTTGTTGTTAGCTGCTAGTGAGTTGGTCCCAACCCATGAAGATTTCATGTGAAGTTGTGGGCTGAGCCTTTGTCATTTTAGAGCTTTATTGACTGACTTTCAAAAGCAGCTCACCAGCTCTTTCATCCTTGCTTGTCTCAGTAGCATGCAACTGATACGTAAGTTGTATGGCACGAAGCTGTGCTGCAATCCCGAAGGCATGCAGTTCGTATCCATGAGCTGCTCCACAGGAGAAGGATGGGCAATCTCCTCCCATGTGACTAACTCCCATGTGAAAACCCGCTGGAGGGTCAGCTATGGGTTGGTTCCAACTCGATGGTACACCACGACCACCACCACCACAGTATCTATCCCAGGCTAAGCTTTCAGCCCACATACCCAAGAAAGATCAACCCTAAGACAGCCTGAGAGCTTTTGCCTTGAAGATCAATACCCCTACCTCAATCTATGGATGGACAATCCACTTTGGGAGAATTAAATTTTCAAATGGGAGTAAAGAATAACAAAAAGCAGATAACAGAAGACGAATGCAAACATTCATTCATGATTCTCTTGTCTTAATTGGAAGAGTCACAAAAAGCCACTTATACTTAGTAATAATTTGTCTTTGATTTGATACACTAAGAATAAGCTATACCAGACTCAGGGTTTATCAGTTCTCAGAGCCCCAGTCCAAGGTTTCTCAGAAAATATGAAGGATGGACTCCCAAAAGCTGTGATACTTCACTTTGGCAACAGAGTCCCCAGGTGCTAGCTGACTCCCCGGGAATCATACCTATGACATAAGGGGTTACTACTTCTAAGATGGGTGGCATTGATAAAATTTGCTGTCAAGGACCTCTTCAAAGTACTAAAGAACAGTGATGTTTCAGGAACAATGATTCTGTAAATTACTATCTAATTTAGGGGGGACTAGAGAGCATTATGCTAGGTGAACTCAGTCCTATAAGGAAAATAGTGTATAAGACCATTATTATAGAACATATATGAGGATCGGGGCAGGGGAGGGAGCTAGCAGAAGGGTGTGGACAGG